TGCAGGACCACCGGCCCCTGGCACAGCCACCACCCAACCCCAGTGCCCCGCTCCGGCGCATCTACGAGCGGCCCAGCACAACCTGCAGCAAGCCTCAGAGGTGGGGGTGTGGGGGGCCTTAGGGGGCACAGGAGAGGGCCTGTCATAGGGGAAGCCTCGGAGTTCCAGCCCTGGGCCTTACAGGGCACCTGCTTCCTTTGGGCTTGGCCTCATACCCCCAGGGTGAAGCAGAACTCAGAGAGCGAGCGCCGCAGCCCCAGCAGCGAGGATGACCGGGACGAGCGCGAGTCCCGCGCGGAGATCCAGAACGCCGAGGACTACAACGAGATCTTTCAGCCCAAGAACAGCATCAGTGAGGCCGGGCTCCCGCCCCCAGCCCAGCGTCCCCGTCGGTGAAAGGGAGGCTGGGGGTCCTTCCAGGATGGCCTGCTGTGGCTCTACGTCCCTTTAGCTTCTTCTTAACCCATCCTGGGTTCCACACCCTGTCCTCACGTTCCCTGGACCTTGCCAGGCTGTGCTCTGATGGAACTGAGAGGGGGCCCTGGGCACTCCTCAGCAGCAGCCCAGCAGCTACTCAGGGTCTCAGTCCCTGCCCTGCCAGGGACAAGTGGGCTGGGAGGGGAAGGACTGAGGGTTCCTGGGACCAAGAGCAGGGTCCACAGTCTGCAGCCGCATGCCTGGGAGCTACCCTCTGTCCCCCACACTCTGACAGGGCCCTGGGTCCCAGGTGGCCTGGCCAGGAGCGCTCACAGCCAGGGGCCTCTTTCCTCTGCAGGTCGGACACCACCCCGGAGAAGCGAGCCCTTCCCTGCACCCCCAGAGGACGGTGAGTTGGGTGAGCCTGGTTTCCTAAGGTCTCTGATGCCCCCCGTCCCTCATCTTCTCTCCCTGTGAGTCCTCCTGACAAGCCCCTTCCCTGGAACCTCCCCTCTCAGGACACGACCCACAGCCTCTCCCGCTGGGTCTCTGCCCTCCACCCGTTATGTGCCGGGTCCCTGCAAGACTGACAGTGCCTCCCAAGGAGCCTGTGCCCTGGTGTGTGGGGGACAGACATAGACACCACCACACGGGCGGGCCTGCCAGGGGCACTCGGGCTGTGGAGGATGGAGAGGAGTCACTGGGGGCCCAGCTTAGATGGGGTCTGCTGTAGATGGGATGATCGGGAGGCTCTCAGGAGGCCCAACAACTGCTGAGGCCTGGGGGCTGGCAAGAAGAGGGAGAGGGGAGCGCTTCCGGCAGGAAGGGAGCTGAGAGGCGGGGAGCTGGGGTGAGTCCCAGCAAGAGGTCAGGCCCACAAGGCCTCAGCTGGGGGTTTGGATTAAGAAGGGAGAAAACATGATCTGCGTTGTGGTTGGAGAAGGGGCAGGTGTGGGGCCCCCTGTCCTACAGAGTACCCCTGCCCTCCACCTGGCCTTCCCTCAGGGACCGTCCTTGCTGTCTTCTGAAGGCTGGGTTTCCTAGGAGGCTCCACTTCCACCTTGCCAGTCACTTATCCCAGCCCCCTCCACACACATGCCAGTGAAGGGACAGGACAGCCACATCCTAGAGCCCCCTGGGTCCCACCCACAGGCAGACTTAAGATTGAGTTCGGGGAGAGGGAGGAGGCAGGTCCAGGCCTGCCCCCAGGTCCTCTGGAGCCCCCATGCTACTGGCCTGCTGCCTCCCCACGCTCCCGCTCTGTCCCCATTGCAATGCTGCCCAGAGCTCCGCCCTGAGGCCCTTCTGGCCGAACCCAGTTATCTTTTCCTTTTGCCTCCAGATGCAGCCACAGCAAAGGAGGCAGCAAAGCCCAGCTCTGCCATGGATGTGCAGTTCCCAGTGCCAAACGTACGTCCATGGAGGGAGCATGGTGTGGGGCCTAGAGAGGGTCCTGAGCCAGGGTTGGGGGTCCCTCGTGTTGGGAGGCAGAGAGGGAGGCCCCAGGCTGGCACCCACTGAGCTTCACACCCGTTTCAGCTGGAGGTCCTGCCCCGGCCCCCGGTGGTTGCTTCCACACCTGCACCCAAGGCTGAGCCTGCCATCATCCCTGCCACCCGGAATGAGCCCATCGGGCTGAAGGCCTCCGACTTCCTGCCCGTGAGTGGGAGCCCAGTGTGAGGCATGGGTGGAGGTCTGTGGGTGGAGAGCAGAGCTTTGCTGCCGGCTCTTCCCGTGCCAGCATCTGGGTGCGCATCCCACACAGGCCGTGAAGATCCCCCAGCAGGCTGAGCTGGTGGACGAGGATGCCATGTCACAGATCCGCAAAGGCCACGACACCATGTGTGTGGTGCTCACCAGCCGCCACAAGAACCTGGACACCGTGCGGGCTGTGTGGACCACGGGCGACATCAAGGCAAGCGCCCACCCTCACCCAGGGCCTCATCTCGCCCCCTGCCCCTGCCACCTGCCTGCCCAGGCGTGGGGCAGAACAAGAAGAGGCCACCCATGTGGGATAGGCCGTCCTGTCGTCATTATCACGGCTGCTGTTTAGTAAGCACCTGTTTAATGCCTGGCCTTACACTCACTGCGTTAGGTGCAGTGCTGTAAACACCCACAGCCCCTCCAGCACACCCACATTCACATTCGTGCCCCCACCCTCACCCTCACAGGGCCACACTGTCCCCCACTGCCCCTCCCCTGACGGTGCTCTGTTTGCACAGACGTCGGTGGACTCCGCTGTGGCCATCAACGACCTGTCGGTGGTGGTGGACCTCCTGAACATCGTCAACCAGAAAGCGTAAGTGGCTGCCGAGGGGGAGTGGGTGGAGGGGCAGGGCTGGGCTGACGGCAGCATGTCCTGGCCTCTCCTAGCTCCCTGTGGAAGCTGGACCTGTGCACCACGGTCCTGCCACAGATCGAGAAGCTTCTGCAGAGCAAGTATGAGAGGTGCGTGTGGGGAAGCCATGCCTGCCTCAGGCAGGGGGAGGGGAGAGGTAGGAAGCCTCCTCCTGGACCATGGGAAGCCCCCCAAGAGCCTGGGTGTTCCTGTGAGCTGGCTGTGAAGCATTGCTGCCCCTCAACGGTCCAGAGGTGGGAGTGGAAACAGGCGTGTGTGTGTGTGTGTGTGTGTGTGTGTGTCTGTGTCTGCCCCTCTCCTCCTCTGTTCCTCGCTGTTTCTCTTTCTGTCTGTGGCCCTGAGTCCATCTGTGACTTCATCCATCTCCCCCTGAAGCTACGTCCAGACGGGCTGCACCTCCCTGAAGCTGATCCTGCAGCGGTTTCTGCCCCTCATCACGGACATGCTGGCAGCCCCGCCCTCTGTGGGTGTGGATATCAGTAGGGAGGAGAGGTGAGGGCCAGATGGCACGTGTGTTGGGGGCAGGGGTGCCACAACAGGTGAGGGGACAAAGGCCTGGAGGCCCTGGGCCCTCTTACTGACAGTCCTGTTGGGACAGAGTACAGAGGGTGTGTTGGTCTGGGGCCATGGCTCAGGGCGTGGGTGGGCTTAGCCAGAGCTGGGTTCCTCCATGGCCTGGCTGTGCCCACAATCCCTGGCAGGGCCTGGGTAGTTCCCCTCTGGGCCTCCACCTTCCCTTGGGAGGAGGGGCTGGAGCAGTTAGGACAGCAAAGGCCCTGGGGTTGGGGTGGTGGTGGTGCCAGCTGGCCCCTCAGGCACTGCCCTCTCTACAGGCTGCACAAGTGCCGGCTCTGCTACAAGCAGCTCAAGAGCATCAGCGGCCTGGTCAAGAGCAAGTCGGGCCTGAGCGGCCGCCACGGCAGTACCTTCCGCGAGCTGCACCTGCTCATGGCCAGTCTGGACTGAGGAACGCAGTGGGCAGGGGCGCTTGGCTGCCCTCAGGGCCTGGCCTCAGCCCCCACTCCTGTTCCTTTTGTGCCTAGTGGCCCATGAGCCTCTGCCTGGCCCCTGCCGCTGTCCTGTGGCCGTCCTGGAGGAGGTAACGCTGGTCCCTGGCCACCTCTACAGCCCTGAACTCTGAGACAACTCTCTCCAGCAATAGCTGCCCAGCTTTGCCCAACTGTTGCTTCTTGGGGCAGCGAACTGAGCCCTGGGGCTGCTGCTGTAATTTATAAGGCAAATTTTATTAAATTTGTAACTATTCCCAGGTTTCCTTGGGGGGAATGTTTTCTGCTGGCCACAGGGCTCCCCACGTCCCAGGAGTGCCTGCCCCGTCGTTTCTGAGATGAGGCCACACCCCCTCCAAGCCCTGGGGTGGGGCTCTGGGCCGTGTGGCCAGCAGGGGGCAGCAGAGAGTCAGGCCTGTGGGACATCAGTTCAGCCAGTTCAGACTGGGAAGGAAAGGGAGGCGGCAACCACCCTTCCACCACTGGATGTTGAGGTTAGGTAGGGGTGGGCCCCACCAGCCGGTCCTCCCCACCTCAGCCACACACAAGTTGTCTTATGGACACCCCCAGGATGCCTCCAGGGGCAGGACTGGAAGGCACCTGCCCCTTCTTCTGAGCAGGGCTCTGATCAGCTGTCATTCCCTGCTGGAGCCCCCAGCACTGGCTGGCGGGAAAGGGCCCACTGCTCTGTGGTCACTGCGACAGGTGGACCCCCTCCTGCTCCCAAGGCAGGGACCAGGTACAGCCCTGTCCCGGGGTGGTCAGGGTCCTCAGCACTGGAGGAAGGTGGCGCGGACCTCTGGCCAGTTCACTGAAGAGGGAAAAGGCCAGGGCAAAGGGTGGGCAGTGGGTGGTGCCCAGCAGTAACCCGGAAGGCCAGCATGGTTTGGGCAAGGCTTTAATGAGCTTTCGAAGCTCTCTCCAGCCTTAGTTTCCTTCCCATCAGTAACATGGAGGGAGGTCGGTCAGTTATTGTGGGCACACGGTAGGCACTGCATGAGGTGACTGTGACCACAAACAACAGAGAAAGTGACCCAGGGTGGGACAGCGCGGGCTCCCCCCAGTTGTTAAGGATGCATGTCCCTAACTGACCTAGAGGACAGCTCCTGGAGGGCTGTGGGGTGACCAGCCAGCGCGGGAGCCCACAGGACCTGCCAGTGCCCCATCCCCCTTAGCAGACCAAGAGGGGCTCACAGGCCAACGTTTTCAGACCATACTTGTGTAAAAAGGCTTTTATTTTAATAAGTAAAAATGGCTAAGCTTCCAAAAGTTCTTAAATAGATTTCAGAGGGAAGAAAATTCAAGAGACCAGTGAGCCAGGCAGGTGAGGGAGCAGCAGAATCCCCCACCCACTGGCTGCCTCTGTCAGCCATAAATATGGCGCGGCCCCGTGGCAGGAGGCCGTGCGCCTCTGTACACACCCCAGCTGCGGGACCCCTCCTTGAAGGAGAGGGGCGGGGAGGGCTGCCCTTGGTGCCACCAACCCACCCCAGTCCGCATGGTTCTTGAGCCTGCCAGGAGGCTCCTTGCCCACCCACGAAGGAAGGGGCTGGCCAGTCCTGCAAGCTGAGGAGAGGAGCTGGGGCAGCCTGGGTGAGAGGCCCGCCCTCCTCCACTCTCCTGCCCTCCTCACGGGGCCCAGCTCACTGACAGCCCAGGCCCGCCAGGAAGAGCAGCCACCCCCGCTTTTCCGCCCATGCAATTTGCACCCAGAGCCACAGCCGAGAGACACCGTTTCCTTCTGAACATGTTTCTCATCTCTGAGGGGAGACGGGGCAGAAGAGGAGCCTTCACTCTTGCCTCCACCTCCGGGGGTCCTGGCGCTGCAGCAGGAACAGGCCAGTGAGGCCTCGGGGCCCAGCTCCAGGCCCAGCGGGGTCACATCCGTCACACAGGCAGTGGCCGCGACTTCCCTGCAGGGGCACCGGGATCATCAGCCTCTTGTCTACTCGCCCACCGGCAGCCCATAACAGGTGCCACCAAGAGCAGGAGGGAACCCAGCAGAAGCAGACAGACAACACCAGCGGAGGCCAGACCCAGCCCTGAGCAGCAGAACGTCCCAGCGCAGCCCTGCAACCCATGGCGGCGGGCAGGCGGGTAGCCCTGGGCCACTGGCCCCACACTCACCTAGAGGCTGCAGCCCCAGCCGTCAGGCTGAAATCAAAGTGACAGGCGTCTCACTGGTGGGCCTGCCTCAGGCCAGTACCCCACAGGACCCTGCTGCTGCTACCCCTTTGGACTCAAGGACAGGCCAGGCCTTCCCATGATCTGGGCTAAACAGGGGCTGGAGTCCTGGATCCCAGTCCTGTGGTGGGGCTCACTCCTCACCTAGGACGTAGGCAAGCCCTGCCCTTTCTATCCCCAGGGCAGCTGAGGTGCAGGGAGGGGGATGCAGGGACTGCTCTGGAGGGGGCTTACTGCACAGGCCCAGCCAGCCCACCCTCAGAGAGCAGGGTCCCAGGGTAAAGTCAGCACCCCAAGCTGGGAGGCTGGGGTCTCCTTACACTACCCCTCCCCACGGACCTTTCATTTCCCACCTGCAGACTGAACACAGCACTGTCTGCCCTGACGACTGCCTGGGGGCAGGGGAGGTTGTAAAACAGGTTCTGGAGAAGTTGTAAGAACTTTTTAAAAAGGAAAGAAAATAGAAAGCCAATCCAGGTAAGGGCAGCCTGGTGACTATTATCCTGGGGAGACTCCCCCACCCACACTTCCACCCCAGGCTCACCCGAGGGCTGCAGCTTCCTCCGGATGGATCCAGGGCGGCTACTGGTCCCAGAGCTGGGGGCTGAGTGGGCCCGTGCTGAGGGCTGTGGCGTCTGACAAGCCGGCTCCCACTGTCAGCAGGGAAGGGCGAGTGGGCGTGGGCCACGGCTGCCCTGGCTCCCCACCCTGCTGTGCTGCTCTCTACTCCCCTGCCCTGCCTCCTAACCTCCTAACACCCAGTTTCCTCATCTGCAAAATGGGCATGATGCTCGTGCCCCAGCCTCAGTTATGGTAAGAATTAAACGAGATAATACATATAAAGAAGTCAACTAGTTACCACTGTGTGCTAGGTACAACTAGTACCTACTGTGTGCCACCCCCACGGCCAGCTGGTCACCCCACAGGAACCTCTGAGGCCAAGAAGAATTACCTGTACTGAAGAGGCTCCTGGCTGTGGGTTCCAGCTGTAGCTCCACCCACCTCCGGCAGCTTCCCCGCCCCCACTGCTTCAGGACGTCCCCGCCCAGTTCCCCACTCCTGCCATGACCCAAAGTCTCTGACCCAGGGCCACCTGAGCCAGGCCTGTGACAGTCCCCGTACCTCTAGATGTTCCTGGCTCGACCAGGACCCAAGCTCTGCCCTGCGTAGCCCAGGCCCCAGCTCCACAGAGCGCACCCGCTCAGCAAACTTGAGAGAATAGAGCGTCTCGCTAGTGTTCTTCTCCACAGGGGACACCTACGGGACACAAGAGCTCACTGCCCAACCAGGCCAGCTGGAGGGACAGCAGGACCAACAGAGGGAGCTCACAGCTGGGGATGTCAGAAGGCTTCCTGGAGAGGACTGAGAGATGGGGTGGGAGGGCAGGCAAGGTGGCAGAGGTAGCGTGGTCAAAGGTGGAGAGGAGGGACTGGGAGTCACACAGGGTGTGTGTGGCCAGGTCTGGGGCTGGGGGCTGTTGCTGACTATGGAGCTGCTGAGACAAGGGTCCCTTTGCACAGCCTGGGGTGACCGGGTCTCGCTGCTAGCGCAGCCCCTCCACTCTAGGGACTGGCCCGCCCTAACCCAAGGCACTCACCTGTACCACCATGAGGGTCTTGCTGTCACCACTAAGTGAATCCTGCAGCAGGTAGGTGAGCTTGGAGTTGCGGAAGGGCACGTGGCCCTGGCGGGAGCGCAGGGCAGCAATGACGTCCCCCAGAGCTGACAGCGACTTGTTGATGTGCTGTGCCTCCCGCAGGCGGCTGCCCTCAGCCCCCGACTTGCCCACGCGCTCGGAGCCAGCCAAGTCCACCAGGTTCAGCTTCCCTGCAGGGAGGGCACCCAGCAGATCAGGCCTGCCATGCCCCTTGTGGTTGTGGGGATCCTCAGGCCAGGCTGCCCGCCACTCTCACCCGTGGTGCGGAGGCCCGTGCTGCAGTCCATGCCTCGCACCGTCACGATGAGCAGCGCATGCGAGCGGGAGCTGTGCTCGTTGAGGTTGGTGAACTCCGTCGTGCGATTGGTGTGGCCGAACTCAAACACCTGGGGGATTGGGAGCGGGAGGGCAGAGGCACAGCGTTGAGAATGGGGTCCTCAGAGTCACCTGGCTCCAAGCACCCGTGAGGAGTTGGCACCACCCTCTGCAGTTTAGATGAGGGAACTGAGGCTCAGAGAGGCGTGGGGACTTGCCCAAGGGTGCGTGCTTAGGACACAGCAGAGCCTACATTCAAACCCAGTTCTGTCCTCTAGAGCAGCGTGGCTGTGGTCAGGGGCTCCCTCCTCCACACCTTGTTGATGTCGTCCACGCTCTGCACCTGGAACTCAGTCAGCCCTGGTACATACAGCTGCCCACTGCCATCTGGGCATAGCCGGATCTCCAGTTTTTCCTGAGGCTCTTTCCCTAGCAGGTCCCTGGAGGGGTAGGTGAGACAGTCACGCCCTCCTCCCATTTCTGGCTGCTGTTTGCACTGCACCCAGCCCCCCAGCCAGGAATGTTCCCCCAACCCAGGAAGCCTTCTTCAGCCATCAGCTGAGCGCATCTCTCCTCCTCCAGCTCCTCCACCGCATTCAGCTGACGCAGAGATCTCACTCCACAATGCAATGAGCCCTGTGGGCAGGGCCCCCAGCTGCCCACTCTCACCCACGGCCACCTGGTGCAGCCCACAGGTAGGGGCAAGGATTGCCTGGGTCTGGGCTGGGGCAGGCTGAGAGAGAGCCCCTCCTCCCCACAGGACCACCCAAACCGATGGGCTGAGTCAGGACTTGCAGCCAGGTCCCTTGATGGCCTCATCTGTTCCCTGTACTCCCTTCAGGAAGACCCCACTTCCTATCCCCCATTGCTCCAGCACCACTCCAGAGGACCCCAAAACTGCCCCTGAGGCCTGCTCCCCACATGCTGGGGCTCCCACCTGAGGACCTCATTCCAGCACCACCCCGGAGGACCCCAAAGCTGCCCCTGAGGCCTGCTCTGCACACCCTGGGGCTCCCACCTGAGGACCTCGTTGTAGATCTCCGCGGCGCTGACGGTGATGGTGTACTCCCAGTCAGACGCCTTCTCCTGCACCTCGGAGAAGAGCAGCTGCAGGGCCCGCTGGTTGATACCTGGGTTCTCAGGGGTCCCCTGGGGGCAGAAGGAAAGGCCCCAGTGAGCCAGGCCTGTCCCCAAAGATGCTCGTGTGGCGTCTGTCCCCCAAGCCCCTTGGTTACTCCTCACAGGCAAGCCTCCTTGCCCAAACCTCCTACCTACCTGCCACTGTCCCCCAAAATGCCCTCCACCAGCTGCAGGCAACTGCACCTCTATTTCCCCACCATTAAAATGGTATCGCCCTGCCAGGACTACCCTGAGACTCATTGTCCAGCACTGGGGTGAGGGGCCTGGCCCAGACCCCACATAGGCCAGCTGACGGCCAGATGCATGCCTGGCCCTGCGGGGCCACCTGGGAGGGGTGCTGGAAATGAATGACCCCACCACTGCCCAGAAAGGGGCTCAATCTCAGGGAGGCTGAGGCCTGGGCTCTGTGGGTGGTGGAGAGGAGGCACAGGGAGGAGTGGACCAGTGTCCTGGGGCAGGAGGGGTGGGCCGGCCTTTCTAGAAGGAAACCTGGAGTCCCTACCTGGGCCCTCGAGGCCCTGGGAGCCTGGCCCTCGCCCTTCTTCTGACAGTATCTCTCACCCTCTCTTTATTCCTGCCACAGGGGCCTCCTGGTCAGGCCTCAGGTGCCCCTGGCATGCTCTGGCCTCTTGGCCTTGGCCCTGCAGCTCCCTCTGCCCTGGGTGCTCCTCTGACCTCCCCGTGGTCGGCTCTGTCATCTCCCTCAGGGAGGCTGCTCCTTCGCCCAGCACCCCCAAACGCCCTGTCCCTCCCCCTAGTCAGTTCCACATCCCTGGCTTTTTCTCCCTGGCCTGACAGGACACTTGCTGATTTATGTGGACTGTGTTGCCTCCCCACAGCCAGGTTGGCCCTGTGGGGAGGGCCCCCTGTGGAGGCAGGGACTGTTTGGGTCAAAGCTGTACCTGGCACAATGCCCGATATGCCTCAGGCATCAGCAGATACGCTTGAGGACGAACGCTGATGTTTCTGGTGGTCAACTCAACTCTAAGCAATCCCAAAGCAGAACAGGGAGCCCAGGGGATGCTGCACACACCCCCTTCCTCCTCCCACCTGGCCTGGCCTGCCCCCCACTAACTAGTCTCACTAGTTCCAGAATTGAGGGAACAGCAGAGTCCAGATGGGAAACAGAGGGCCGCCATGACAGGCTCCCTGCCCAGCAGGCCTGGCCAGCCCTTTCCCCTGCCCAGATGCCGTACCACCTGGCCTCCTTCTGACCTAGGGAATCCCACAGCACCCCCTCAAGAGTCAGGGCTAGCTTTCCACTGCCCTCTGCCCACAGTCAAGATCCGTCCTCATCTCAACGCCCCCCTCCCTGGCCAGCCACCTGCTCCACCACACCTGGGAGGGCGCCGGTGACGGGCAGGGAGAGGAAGCCTTGGCCTGGCCCCAGGGGCCACCAGCAAGAGCTGGGCTCCCCACCACAGCCTTCGCATGCCAGTCTTGCCCTGGGATCTCCTTGAGGACTGAGACCAACCACTCATCCCAGATCCCCCAGGCCCGGCCAAGGCAGCCATAAAGCAGGGGCGTGCAGTGCACAGTCAAGGTGAAATGCAGCCCCGGTCCTGAGAGAGGTGGGTGGCCTGCCCTGGACTCTGTCCCCAGGCCAAGATCCCTGTGATGACAGACCCCCCTTGCCTCTTCCCCAGTCCTGCTGGGCCCATTGTGGGTACCGTTGGGCAAGGGGGCCCCCTCTTAAGGCCTGGTGCCTTGGGGCTAACACAGATAACTACAGCCTCTGCTCCTGTGTTGTGAGGACCAAATGAGGCAAAACACACACTGCACAAAACCCCAAGACCAATGAAGGAGCCCGCATTCCCTTCATACCTCACTGTGAACCCCCACCCCATGGGGCAGCACCCACCTCCATCGTGTATGTCTTGCCAGCACCCGTCTGGCCGTACGCAAAGATGCAGACATTGAAGCCATCGATGCAAGAGGTGATCAGGGCCTGCACCTCCTGGAACACCTGGGAAGATGGTGGCAGGGAGGCTGGTGGGGGGCTTCCAGGGCCACTGGGACCACCAGCTACAAGTCCAGCCACCTCCCCAACCATGCTGTCCTTCAGCAACACCACAGCACGTGTTACTGCAGTCACTCAGCTCACAATGATTCGTGATTCGTGAGTCATATGTTAGACATCAGTGGGCAACTGGGCCGCCCAAAGACTGCAGGGAAGACAGGCCGGTGCCTGCTGCCCTTCCCCCAGCTCCTCCTGCTCTCTCTCAAAGAGCGCTCAGCACAATGAAGGCAGAGGCCAGCACATGCCTGGGGACTCTCTGGCCTGGGCCTGCCTGCCAGCCATCAGCGGATGGGGGCAAAGACAGAACCAGACATGAGAACAGGAGGGCACAGGCCTTGGTAGGGCTAGCAGGTTGGTCTGGGCAGAGACAAGGGAAGAGTGGACACTGAGAACACATGGTTCTCATACAGCCTCAGGGGGTCGGGGGATTCCTAGGAAGGCCCAGGGGACTGATACAGGAGGGTACTCCCAGATGGAGAAGATGGGCAGGGTCATGAAGACAGATGGGGCCATGTGGGTGGGCAGTCACAGCCATGAGGGTGGGAGGGGCTGTGATAGTGGGAGGGGCCTGAAGGTGGGTGAGGCCACATGGTGGGAGGGGCCTGAGTGTGGGTGGGGCCATGCAGATGGAGGGGCCACAGCATGAGGGTGGGATGGGCTGTGATGGAAGGAGGGGCCTTGAGAGTGGGCAGGGCCATGCAGTAGAAGGAGCCACGTGGATGGGAGGACCCAAAGCCATGGTGGTGGGAGAGGCTGTGGGTGGGGCCATGTGGTGGAAGGGACTGGATATAGGAGGGGCCACATGGTGGGAGGAGCCATAGCTGAGAGAATGGAATGGGTTATGATAGTGGGATGGGCCTTAAGGGTGGGCGGGGCCACATGGTAGAAGGGGCCTTGGGGATGGAAGGAACCACAGCCATGGGAGGGGATGGGCTGTTTCTGGATCTCTCCTTCCAAAGGAGGCTTCTAAGGCCTTCAGTCTTAACTTCCCACCCTCTTCTGTCCTCCAGAGGAAGGTGCGGGACCCTGGCTCCCCATTTCTGATTCCTGTACCCCCCACTCTTAGGCTTCTTCCTGCCCAGCCCCTCTCCCTCCCTGTGAGTCCGTCTTTCCCTCTCTCCATTGCTTTCCCTTTCCCGCATGGGGCCACACTCACATCCTGCTGCGAGGCCTGTGGGGAGAACACCTTGTCCAGCTCGAAGGACACAGGCTTTCCCTTGTGCAGCAGGTGGATGATGGAGTCGTCGTCGGCATCGAAAGTCACAGCATTGGTGGCCTCAGGTCCTTCCCCATCCTCTTTGGTGACTGGCCGGACACGAGCAATCACTCGGATGTTCCCTGGGTTGGTTGGGGATGGGGAAATGGGCCCAGGCCATGTCAAGACCAGTCTCCACTCTGGTCCACTGGTGTCCCAGGCAGACCAGTTGGCCTAGGAGTCCCCTGACTTTTAAGCACAGCCCCCTAGGGGAAGGGGGCCCACAAAGCTGTTATCCATCATTCACACTATAGTATGCATTCACTTAGTACATTTCTTCTTGAACAGACCAGCTGACTGGGGTGGAGCTCTGCCTTGGGGATGGGGAGGAAAGGTCAGTTGTGGGGCTCAGGCACTGCACCCAGTCAGGATGAGACGCCAGAACGGATACTCTCTTTTCCTCCCTGGACTTCAGTTTCTTCATCTAGACAATGAGGGGCTTGGGCCCCAGTGAGCAAAGAGCCTTCTGAATGGCAGGACAGGGCTTAGGAATCAGATGGGCATATAGGCCTGGCAGCAGGTGATGACTGATGGTGTATCTGAGGGCCCAGATAGTGGGGCAGCCACAAGGGTATCTGGCAGCATGAGCTGGTCATGCCACCATCTACTTCCAGCCTTCGTTGGGATTCCTGTGTTCTTGTAATGAAGAGGAAACATCCCCCACTTCCAGCATGGCCCACCTGCCCTCCCTTTTCACCCATCTGTTCCAGCTCACCATCCAGGTCTCAGCTCTAACTTTGCCTTCTCTGGGAAGCCCCTCAACACATTTGCCTGTCCCATACCCAGGAGAGCCTGTCTCAGCCCTGGAAAGGGGCAGGGTTGGGGTTCCCTGACAATCACCATTGTCCATTCTCATACTAAAGTGAGCACCGGGAGGCAGTCTGTGGGGCCATGACCATAGCCTCGGGCTGGAACGGCACCTGGCACAGAGCAGGCACTCTAGAGCTCCATGCAGTGCATGGTGGAGTCTCAAGCTTGACCAGGCCCCAGGTCAGAACAAGTGGCTTTCCAGCTGCCAACAACCCAGTGCTGCAGTACCACACCCCTCGGCCATCCAGGGCCTGGGGAGTCACCTGCCCAAGCACTGGGGCCAGGGCTTCTGAGCTGGACAGACTCAAGTTCAAATCCAAGGCGGACCATTTAATATCCCTGTGGCTTTGAGCAAGTTCCCTGCCTTCTCTGTGCCTCTGTTTCCTTATCTACAGAGATGGGATTAGAATAGCGCCTCAACGGTGGGGTGAGCTCCAGGCATGACTGCCAAGCCAGGTCGAGGCCCCGAGGCTGGTGTCCACCCCCAGCCCTCCTGCAGTCACCTTTCAGCCGCACGAGCTCGTTGTGGCACTTCTTGCGCAGCTGCAGCTCACGGCGGTACTTGCGCAGCAGCTCCTGGTTGTTGCTGTTGACCTCCTCGATGGCCTGGCCTATCTGGTGGGGGGTGCACACCACTGTCAGGGGGTCAGCTCCATCAGCCTTGCTGGCCCAACTGCCCACCCCTGAGGGGTGCTCACTGCCTCCTGCCCCTGGCTGAGTACCTGACACACACTATCACATGTCAGACTATCGCAATCACCCCTCTGGGTAGGTACTGCTGCCATCCCCATTTTACAGATGATGAAACTGAGCCCCAGAGACTCTAAGCTGACAGCTCAAGGCTGCTCTGCTAATAAGCATAGAGCCAGGACTCAGCCTCCACACCATAGCATGAGTGCTTGACTATGTGATTCAACCAGACTCAAATTCCAGCTCTGCCCCTGAGTAGCTGGGGATCTGAGACTGCTGACTCAATGTCTTTAAGCCTCAATTTTCACATCTGGAAAACAGGGATAATACCATCTAAATCATGAATCTATAAAGATCTCCCAGTTACATTTCACAGGGGGAAAGAAGATGCAAAATCACACATACAGTATCCCGCTGTATACAGAATCACACGTCCCCTTTCTGGGGTAGAAGGAAAGTGTATACAGTGTATACAGTCGTCCCTTGGTAACCATGGAGGATATAAAACTCCACAGATGCTCAAGCCCCAGATATAAAATGATATAGTGTTTGCCTGTAACCTACACATATCCTCCCATATACTTTACTTTTTTGAGACAGGGTCTTGCTCTGTTGCCCAGGCTGGAGTGCAATCACAGCTCCGTGGACGTGGTGGAAACTCACCATGAATGGTGTTATCTTGGCTCACTGTAGCCTCGACTTCCCAGGCCCAAGCGATCCTCCCACCTCAGCCTCCAGAGTAGCTGGGACTACAGGTGCAGGACACTGCACTCAGCTAGTTTTTTTATTTTTGTAGAGATGGGGTCCCACTATGTTGTCCAGACTTGTCTTGAACTCCTGGGCTCAAGTGCTCCTCCTGCCTCAGCCTCCTGAAGTGTTATGATTACAGGCATGAGCCACTGTGCCCAGCCCTGCCCATGTCCTTTAAATCATCTCCAGGTTACTTACAATACCTAATACAATGAAAATGCCAGGTAGGGGCTGGGTGCGGTGGCTCATGCCTGTAATCCCAGCACTTGGGGAGGTCAAGGTGAGCAGATCACCTGAGGTCAGGAGTTCAAAACCAGCCTGGCCAACATGGTGAAGTCCTGCCTCTATTAAAAATACAAATCAACAACAACAACAAAAAAACCTAGCTGGGCATGGTGGCATGTGCCTGTAATCCCAGCTACTGAGGAGGCTGAGGCAGGAGAGTCACTTGAACCCGGGAGGTAGAGGTTGCAGTGAGCTGAGATCCCGCCATTGCACTCCAGCCTGGGCAACAAGAGCGAAACACTGTCTCAAAAAAAAAAAAAAAAATGCTGTGTAAATAGTTGTTATATGTTATTTTTACTTCTATTATTTTTAAATGTTGTACTGTTATTTTTAATCTTTTTCAAATATTTTTGATCTGTGGTTGTTTGAATCTGGGAGCGCAGAACCTGTGAGTGGGGGAAGGGCCTACCATATATTCACACACACACATATCAATTGGCTTAAGCATGCTCAGAATGGTCAGGGAGAAATGCTGAGAGGCCACACTGGGGGAGTTGGGTGGGTGGCAGAGAGGCCTTTCCTATTCACCTGATGCCCCGCTATGGAGTTTGACTTTTCACCATGTCCACGTATTATTGACATACTCTTTTAAAGAAGAACTATAGCCGGGCGCGGTGGCTCACGCCTGTAATCCCAGCACTTTGGGAGGCCGAGGCGGGCGGATCACAAGGTCAGGAGATCGAGACCACGGTGAAACCCCGTCTCTACTAAAAATACAAAAAATTAGCCGGGCGCGGTTGTGGGCGCCTGTAGTCCTAGCTACTCGGGAGGCTGAGGCAGGAGAATGGCGTGAACCCGGGAGGCGGAGCTTGCAGTGAGCCAAGATCGCGCCACTGCACTCCAGCCTGGGCGACAGAGCAAGACTCCGTCTCAAAAAAAAAAAAAAAAAAAAAAAAAAAAAAAGAAGAACTATATTCTGTTCCCAAAATATATTAGTCTTTGCAAAGCTATCATACAAATTCAAGGAGCTAACGGCTATAAACAGCTCGACATGTAGGAGGCACTTAAGAGGCACTGGCTATTCTCATATATACAAGTACAGCTTGAAAGAATTAAGTTAAACCTAACAGAGATAAGACTGTATCGGCCAGTCATGGTGGCTCACACCAATAATCTCAGCACTGTGGGAGGCCAAGGCAGGAGGACTGCTTGAAGCCAGGAGTTCAAGACCAGCCTGGGCAACATAATGAACCCTGTCTCTAATAAATAATTTTTTAAAAAATATGTATGTAGCATGTTTTTTGTTTTTGAGATAGAGTCTCGCTGTCACCCAGGCTAGAGTGCAGTGGCACGATCTTGGTTCACTGCAACCTCCACCTCCCGGGTTCAAGTGATTCTCCTGCCTCAGCCTCCTCAGTAACTGGAATTAACAGGCACCTGCCACCATGCCCAGCTAATTTTTGTGATTTTAGTAGAGACGGAGTTTCGCCATGTTGGCCAGACTGGTCTCAAACTCCTGACCTTGTGATCCGCCCGCCTTGTCCTCCCAAAGTGTTGGAATTACAGGTGTGAGCCAACGCGCCTGGCCTGCATGTTTGAAATATGAAGTTATCTGTAACATGTTTGGTTTAAAGAATCATAGTAAGACAAATAGCCGAATGCCTGCCCTAAGCAGTCTAGTTTCAAACAGGGCCTATAAGGGCAGCAGTAAGTCATGATGGGTGGGGCAGGGGCTGCTGTCTGAGGGGCTTTGTCTGAGCTTTGGAGGGGAGCCCTGGGTGGATGTTGTGCCTCTCCCAGTGCGCTCCCTCACCCTGGACCCTCCCACCCACTGCCCTCGCTCACCTCGGCCTTGACACTCCTGAGGGCCTCCTGCAGCAGCAGCGGGAAGCCGCGCACCTGCCGCTTGAGCCCGTTGTAGTCGTTGGTGAGGGTCCGCAGTGCTGGCTGCAGGGTCAGCAGGTTGGTCCGGACGCCTATGGGGACACTTGGGCTGTGAGGCGGGAGGGGATGAGAGGCCACGGTGTGGGGTAGACAGGGCCCCAGTCAGCTCACCTGCTAGATTCTCGTGCACAGCCTTCATCTCCACCTGGGCTCTGGCAAAGGCCTCCTCAATGGCCCGGTTCTTGTCCTCTTCCAGGGACTGCATCTCCTCCAGCATCTGCCCATGGGCCCGCTCCAGCTCTGACTCGTACATGGCAATCTGGCAGCCAGACCAGGAAAAGGCTCAGTACCTCGAGGTGTGGGAGGGAGAGGGGCAGGTGCCATACCGAGAAAGAAGCCCCACTGGTCACCTCCCATGCCCATGAACACACATGCACACACACGTGTGCACACACGGAGGGGTAGAATGGCCTTGTCTCTCTCCCCGTAAAGGGCTGTGAGCTCTGTACATTGGCCCCCAACACCAACCCAGTACTAAGCACACATCAGGTGCCCAAGTCACGTGCCCTCAGAAAGGTAGGAGAGGGCCTCTGTGATGACAGTGACGAGTACCACTGTAGAACTTACTGAGCAAGCCTGTGTGCTGGGCCCTGGGCAAAAAGCTTCCTGGGATCACGTTCCTGAGTCCCCACTCTGAGGTGGGTTCTGGGACCAGATCGTGTTATAATAGATGAGGAAATGGACACCGGACAAAACTTGCCCTGGGTCCCATGGCCATCGGGGAGAGGAGGGACTGGACCCCATGTCTGTGGGGTGTCCGAATGCTTAACCAGTGCATTGGCCCAAGGGCTTGTCTCTGGCTTCCGGGCTGGGTGTGTGCCCCCACACAGCCTGTGTACCTGCGCCCGGAGCCGCGCGGTCAGCTGGTGTGAGCTCTGCAGCTGCTGTTCCATCTCCTTCAGCACGTGCCTCTGCATAGCCACCTGCTCCTGCAGGTGCTGGTTGCGGGCCTGGGACTCGCTGAGGGCCTGCTTGGTCTTAGACGACTCCACCTCCACTGTCTTGATGACATACTGCAGGGCGAGGGAAGAATGGTGCGTGGAGCCAGCAGGCACCAGACCTCACCCCAGACCCTGAGACGCAGCCGGCCAGGGGAAGGAACTCTCAGGAACATCCCACTCAGAAACCTGGAAAAAACTAGAGGAGCCTTGAGGTCCTGGCTTTCCAGAAAGCTGGGGGGTCTCCTGGAACCTTCTCTTTTTTTTTTTTTTTTTTTTTGAGACGGAGTCTCACTCTGTTGCCCAGGCTGGAGTGCAGTGGCTAGATCTCAGCTCACTGCAAGCTCCACCTCCCGGGTTTATGCCATTCTCCTGCCTCAGCCTCCTGAGTGGCTCGGACTACAGGCGCCCGCCACCTCGCCCGGCTAGTTTTTTGTATTTTTTAGTAGAGACGGGGTTTCACCGTGTTGGCCAGGATGGTCTCGATCTCCTGACCTAGTGATCCGCCCGTCTTGGCCTCCCAAAGTGCTGGGATTACAGGCTTGAGCCACCGCGCCTGGCCTGGAACCTTCTCTTCTTAACAAGAGGCTACTATGAGCCTGCCTGGGGCCCCATCCTGGGTACAAACAAGAAAGGCAAAGATGGGGGCAGAATCCAGAGGCTGCGCTGCATCTGTGCCTGGCACCTCAGTTGTTGGATACCTACTCGGTGCCTGGCTCTGGATACAGGAAGGGAAAGGGGCAGGATCAAGCACAGAATTGGAATGATTCCTCCACCCACATGCACCTACCTATTGACCAGGTCAAGCTCCTCTTATGGGCTGGCCCTGCCCCAGGCACCAGGGGCATTGGGCTGAGGCACAGATCAGGTGGGCCAGGGCTCACCTTGACAGGTGGGGACTGGGCCCGCAGGCTGGCAATGGTCTCGTGGCTGTCACGCAGGCGCCGGCTGAGTCGCTCCTCCTCCTGTGCCTTCTCAGCCAGGCAGTCCTTGAGCCGCAGCTCCACCTCAGCCAGCCGGTCAGTCTTCTGCTGCACCTCCAGGTTCAGCTCTGACAGCATGCCTTTGCTCTCCGCCATCTCCAGCTGCAGCTGGGACAGCTTGTCACGGAGCTGGGCACTCTCCTGCAGCCAGTGGGAGGCACTAGATGAGTGCAAGGGACAGGCTCACTCTGAGGACCCAGGGTGGCCCTCCAGGACCAGCATGGGGGCTGCGGCCATTCTGCTCACCTGGCTGTGCTCACAACCCAGGCAGGGACCTGCTGGCTTTGCACGTAGCTCTTGCAGCTCGGCCTCGCAGCGCCGCATCTCCTGTCTCAGTCGCTCATTCTCCACCATCAGCAGGTCCCGGTGCTTCTCCAAGTCGGTGCCCCCCTGCAGAGAGCCAGGGCCGAGGGGGCGCATGTGGTGAGGGCAGATGGCAGGGGAAGGAAGAGGGGCCAGCGGAGATGGAACAAGGGCAGGGGAGAGAGGGGAGGTGAGGAGAAAGGCAGACGGAAGGAGAAAAAGAAAAGGCAAGCGCAAGAGAGGAGGAAACGAGCTCAAGAGAGAAACCAAGAGAAAGATAGTAGAAGGCAGAGTCGAGAAGGGTGGCAACCCAGGGCCTGCTCGCCCTGCTGCCCCTATTCTGAGTGTGAAAGTCACAAGGAGAGACATATTTCTACCAGGGTTCACACTCCTGTTTAATGTCAGCAACCGGGAAGGAATCTCCCACCCCTTGGAGCCACAAGGCCTCTGAGGGTACCAGGACATAGGGATAAGGCTCTCGGTGTGTTTCTGAGACAGGGTGGGATGGATGTGTGGGCTCAGCAGAGAGAGGGTTGCACCCCTGCCCCTGGCAGGGCCCATCTACACAGGGCCAGGCCAGCCCCCTGTGCTGCCCCAGGACAGCCTTGTGGCCTCACCAGCTCAGATCGCAGTCGGCTCACTTCCTGGGCCTGGCTAATGAGCTTCTCCTTCAGGTGTTCCACCTATGGGCACAGAGTCAGGAGCAAGGTGAGACTCAGTTCTCAGCTCCAGCCCACACCCAGGCCTCCTGCCCAGCACCAGGGATGACTGATGTGGCCGTGGCTTCTTCTAAGGCTGTGGCCTTAGGTTCCCCTATGTTCAAGCATCCCGTCACACCTGGGACTTCAGGTGAGCGAAACCTGGGCTGGTACTGACAGCCTCCCGCGCCCTCTCCCTCCACAGGACAGAGCCAGCCCCAGCTCTTCAGGAAAGCCCAGAGAGCAAGTGCAACCAAAGCCACCCCAACGCCACCTGGGACCACCCAACGGCAGCCCACCCTCGGGACCCCTCACTCCACGAGCCCCTTCTGAAGCCCTGTCCCTGCCTGTGTCTATGTAATGTCATGTTCTCTCTCCTCTACCTGCCTGTGTCTATGTAATGTCATGTTCTCTCTCTCTCCTCTACCTGCTTGTGTCTATGTAATGTCATGTTCTCTCTCTCTCCTCTACCTGCCTGTGTCTATGTAATGTCATGTTCTCTTTCTCTCCTTGTCTTTAATTTTTTCTCCTCTACCTGCCTGTGTCTATGTAATGTCATGTTCTCTTTCCTCTACCTGCCTGTGTCTATGTAATGTCATGTTCTCTCTCTTTTACCTTTGTTTATGTATTTTTTTCTCTCTTTCCTGTGTCTATGTAATGTCATGTTCTCTTTCCTCTCCTGCCTGTGTCTATGTAATGTCATGTTCTGTCTCTTTAAAGGGGCCCCCAGATTATACATACTCCAGGTCCTCCGAGCCCTGGATTCACCCTGGCCCAGCCCCCAGAATTTTCCACTTGGGGTGGTCTCTGGCAAGTCGACCTGTGGAGATGGGTCTTCCAGTAGCCAGAGCACACTTAGAACCTGTGTCCACCCCTGCTCCCAATCTGCCTTGCAGGAGAGCTGTGGCGGCCAAGACTATTAGAGGGGGAAGAGGGTGTGCACCCCATGAGGAAGCCATGGTTACCTGGCTTATCCCGACCCCAGAAGAGGGGACACCATCATGGTGCCAGTCCCATGAGGGCAGATCCCAGGGAAGCAACCCTTCCCCAGAGCTGTCCTCCAGCCAGCCATCCCCTCCCAAGGCCCAGACCCTGGTCTCACATCAGCCCACCCCCAGAAACCTCTCCTCAGGAAACAATCCGCAGACACAGACTTTGGCTCCAGCTTCCGTCAGGGCATGTTTAGGACTTTTCTTGCAGAACGTCCTGTAGTGAGCACCCCTCACCTCAGGAAAGGTATGTTAAGAGCCAGATTCCTATGTGGTAGTTTAGGAGGTTTACACAGCTGGGTTCTCATTACTAAATGACAGGCAACAACGTCCACTGACTACAGGTGAAAGCCAGGTAAGGCGGGTGAGGGGCTGTGCAGGGCTGGACTCCCAAGAACCCCCTAAGAAGGCGGCCACCATTTTTTCCCCTCAGACCACGGGAGGTGAAAACGTACACCGGCATCGCGAAAATTCTCATCTTTCAAGAAAGGCCTAGGCCAGCCTGAGCAACATAGCAAGACCCCATCTCTACAAAAATTTCAAAACTCAGCCGAGTGTGCCAGTGCACGCTTATAATCCCAGCTGTAATCCGGAGGGTTAGGATCACCTGAGCCCAGGAGTCTGAAGCTGCAGTAAGCTATGATAGCACCACTGCACCCCAGGGTGACAGAGCGAGGCTGTCTCAAAAAAAAAAAAAAAGAGGTTTACCATCAGCCATAGTTAAGACAGGCCAGACATCTGGATTTTGCGGGGTGTGTGTAAAATCTCCCTACTTTACATGGTTGAGATGTCATCAAGCTAGTCCCTGTCATCAAACAAGGTAGTGTTCGGCCTCGGAGGTCCCTGTCTCCCAGGGCTGGAGAGAGCGCTGACTCACAGCAGTTAGGCCTGCTCTGAGTGGTCAGGGGTGGACCAAGGGATCCACCCCCACCTCTGAGAAAAAGGCCAGGGAGCTGGCTTTGCCTACTCACAGTGGGGCAGGGGGATTCCAAAATGCAAGACCCAGGTGAAAGGCTGGGGACCCAGCCAGGCCTCCTGGGGGACAAGCAGGTGACCCAAAGGCCAGGCCCCAGGAGGTCAGCTCTGCTGCCACCTGGACAAGCACATTCCTTCCTAGCAACACGCTGGGCCACAGGCCAGGCAAGGAGGCAGAGCTTGCACCACTTCTCTGCCCACTCAGTGCCCGACGAGAGGACGGCTCAAGTCCTTTGGCCCCAGGTGGGAGTAGGGACAGTTTGCATGAGGCAGCCTTTCTGCTAATTTAGTCCTAAAATTGAGAATACCCTAAATACCCACGCTTAGAGGAGTGGGCAGCTGAATTACAATGTGTATACACATTACATGGACATTCAGTCATTACATCCATGTTTATCAAGAGTTTTAAATATCATGGGGAAAGGCTCAACATATTAAGTCCAAGAAACATCTGAAAAACCATTGAATATACAGTACTAAAAAGTAGGGATCTCTGGGTTGTGGAATTATAGTTGACAAAATCTTTATGCTTTTCAGTAATTTTTTTTTTCTTTTTGAGACAGGGTCTCACTCTGTCACCCAGGCTGGAGTGCAGTGCCGCGATCTAGGCTCCCTGCAGCCTAGACCTCCTGGACTCAAGCCATCCTCCCACCTCAACCTCCCAAATAGCTGGGACTACAGGCACATACCACCACGCCCAGCTAATTTTTTTTTTTTTTTTTTTTTTTTTTTTAATATATAGACAGGGCCTTGCCATTTTGCCCAAGCTGGCCTTGAATTCCTGGCCTCAAACAATCTTCCCGCCTCAGCCTCCCAAAGTGCTGGGATTACTGTTGTGAGCCACTGTGCCCAGCCAGTAATTTTTCAGTCTCAAAGAATATGTATTCCTACTCTTCCTACCCTGACATAAGTGAATCGACTTCCTTTTCAAAAGGCTGGAGTCTCCTTCCACCCCACCTCACTCCCCCAGACAGGTTGCCGCCTCAGCATGGGGCTGGGCGTGCTGACCTTGATCGTCTCCACTGTCGTCACTGCCAGGCACTCCGACCCCGATGCAAGGAGAGCGGGGTTTGCCAGTGTTTGCTGGGGGTGGGAGGCGGGATAGCCACTGGCCACCTGCCTGCGGCCCGGGGTTCTGTTCTGTCCTTGCATCACAATGGGAACCTGGGGGCTCCTGGGTTCTGTCTGGAATCTCAGAGGGGTGCCCAGAAGGAGGTGGCTGCAATGTGGGGGGATCAGGCTCGGGGAGCATGGGGGGTGGTGAGGGAGTTGAGGAAGGGGCTGTAAAAGGCCCCTTTACTCAGAGATGTCAGACACTAGGTCATCTCTGGCTTGTTGCGGGCAGCAGAGCAGGGGGACTGTGGCTGAGACGCAGCAGACTGGCACCACGAGCACTCTGGCCCAGGCACCAGTGACCTGCTCCGTGGCAGGTGGTTGGCCAGCTCTACTGGGTGTAGGTCTCGGGCTTGTGGGGAAGATGTCCGCTTTCTCCTGTACTTGAAGGCAGGCAATCTCTCAGAATTAGGGAAAACAGGCAAGAAGTCAGAGAGAAGTGGAGGCACCTGGGGAAGGCCGATGGGAGACGGCCTGGGAGCAGTGAAAGCCAAAAGCAGGCAGAGCCAGAAGGCAGGGCCTTCCTCAGGGGAGACCGAGGGCCCTTCACACACTCACCGCAGCTCCCAGCCAGCAAAGGCCATCCGTGTCTCTAAGCCCACCAGGGGAGGGTCCCGAGCGCCACCGTGGGCTCGATACATACTTGTGGCCGCAAAGGGGCAGCGGGCACATGCCTGAGCCCAAGACACAGGATGGAGGAGAAAGCAGGTTCCCCACTAGGCCGCTGAGACGGTTCCAGGACAGCATGGACGTCAATCCAGGGCTGAGGACGGACCAGGCTGGGGCTGTGCGACACTCCTCCCAGGCCCAAGCTCTTCATCAGCCAGAGCAACTAAGTCACGGGCCTGCTGCAGGGGGCCTCGGCCCTGCCTGCTCAAGGGGAAGAGGGAGCTGGGCCTGTCTGCCTACTTGACACCACCTGCATTTACACTTCACAGGCAGAAGCTGCTCGACCGAGGGCGGGGCCGGCCAGCCCAGGTCTGTGTTTTCTCAGCTGTTTGCTTCCAAGGCGGCCTCTTACTATCACAGAGAGAAAACCTGCTGGTTACCTCTTTACCTCCCACCAAGCCCAGCAATGATCATCAGCTGTCTGCTAAGGAAAAGTGGCCTCTCCCAGGCCAAAACTGCTGAGCTGGGAAGGCCAGAGGGCCCGGAATCCAGACAACCTCAAGGAAACTCAGCCCAGAGGCCAGCCGGGTGGCCCTGGCAGCACACTCTGTGGAGCCCACAGAAGGCCTGATCCTGGCTCTATGACCACTGGCCAGGCCGGTCTGTCCCCTGTCCATGCCACCCTGCCTCTGTTGCCAAGTCTTCACCTCTGGGTCCTTCTGCCACTGACGGGCAAGTAATAGCAGCTGACAATTTGAATTCTTAAGCCAGGCTGCCCAGGTTCTAATCCAGACATTCCCTTACCCGCTGGGTAACCCTGGACAAGTCTCTTAAGTTCTCTGTGTCTCTTATTTTCCTTATTTGCATAATGAGGCCACCTCTTGGAGGCTGTCTCGAGGATTAAATGAGTGATATATGCGAAGGAAAGGTCTGTGAAGGTAGGGATTTTTGTCTGTTGTGTTCAGCACTATACTCCCAGTGTCTGAAACAGTGTCTGGTACACAGTAGGTGTTCAGTAAGTACATGTAGGAGGAATGCTGAATGCATGAGGGGCCAGCCAGAGCAGAGCTTGTGGATGAGGTTGGTAAGCAGAGACAGAAAGGGTGGGGGGGCTGGAGTGTGCTGAAGGATGCTCATCTCCACCAAAGGCAGGAGCTGCCACTCGACCTCAAGCGGTGGGTGCCATGTGGGAATGTCAGCTCAGAGGTGCCACATCTTCCAATATTTCATGACAAAAAGGAAGTCTAGAGTTTGATATGAATTTAATTAAGATTTAAATGTTGGAATTAATTTGATTTTAAAAGCAGGACAATTAGAACTAATAAATTCAGCAAAGTTGAAGGACACAAAATGAACACACAAAAATCGGTTACATTTCTACAACTAACAATAAACAATCCAAAAAGGAAATTAAGAAAATAGTTCCATTTACAATAGCATCAAAAAGAATAAGGTACTGAGGAATAAACTTAACAAAGGTTAAATATTGTATGCTAAAAACTACAAAATACTGGTGAAAGAAATTAAAGATGACACCAATAAATAGAAAGACATTCCATGTTCATGGATTAGATGTAATATTGTTAAGGTGTCAATACCACCCAAAGTGATCTACAGATTCAATGCAATGCCTAACAAAATCCCAATGACATTTTCTGAAGAAATAGAAAAATCCTTATCAGGGGACACCATATAGCTAAAACAGTCTTGAAAGACTGAAGGTCTCACACTTCCTGATCCCAAAACTCATTAAAAAGCTACAGCAGTTTGGCCAGGCGCGGTGGCTCATGCCTGTAATCCCAGCACTTTGGGAGGTCGAGGCAGGCGGATCACTTGAGGTCAGGAGTTCGAGGCCAGCCTGGCCAACATGGCGAAACCCCATCTCTACTAAAAATACAAAAATTAGCCAGGCCTCATGGCAGGCGCCTGTAGTCCCAGCTACTCAGGAGGCTGAGGCAGGAGAATCACTTGAACCTGAGAGACAGAAGTTGCAGTGAGCTGAGATCGCACCTCTGTGCTACAGCCTGGGCGGCAGAGCGAGACTCCATCTCAAATGAAAAAAAAAAGCTACAGCAATCAAAGCAGTGTGGTACTGGCATTAAAACAGACATAAATACCAATGGAATGGAATACAGAGTCCAGAAATAAACCCTGACATACATGGTTAAATGATTTTTGACAAGGTTGCCAAGACCATTTAATGTGGGAAAGGATAATCTTTTCAACAAATGGTGCTGAGAAAACTGGATATCCACAGGCAAAAGAATGGAGTTGGATCCTTACCTTATACCATATACAAAAATTCACTCGAAATAGATCAAAGAGGGTCAGGCATGGTATAATCCCAGCACTTTGGGAGGCCAGGGTAGGAGGACTGCTTGAGCCCAGGAGTTCTAGACCAGCCTGGGCAACACAGGGAGACCCTGTCTCTACAACAAGTAAACAAAATTAGCTGGGCATGGTGGCACACGCCTGTGGTCCCAGCTACTAGGGAGGCTGAGGCGGGAGGATCACCTGAGCCCAGGAGGCCAAGGCCGCAGTGAGCCATGATCACACCACCACACTGCAGCCTGGGCAACAGAGCAAGATCTTGCGTCAAAATAAAAAACAAAAAGCCCCAAAGACCTAAATGTGAGAGCTAAAACTATAAAACTCTCAGAAGAAAATAGAGGAGAAAATGTCATGACATTAAATTTGGCAATGATTTCTTGGATATACACCAAAGGCAGAGGCAATAAAAGAAAAAATAGATAAGTCGGACTTCATCAAAATTAAACACTTTTGTATAACAAAGGACACTATCAACAGAGTGAAAAGGCAACACGTGGAAAATACTTGCAAATCATTTATCTGATAAGGAGCTATTATTCTGGATATATAAAGAACTACAACTCAACAACAACAAACCCAATTAAAGAATGAGCAAAGAACTTGAATAGAAATTTCTCCAGGGAAGACATACAAATAGCTAAAACAGACATGAAAAGATATTTAATATCACTGGCATTAGGGAAATGCAACTCAAAACCACTATGAGATACCACTGCACACCTATTAGGATGGCCATTGCAAAAATAAAAATAAGCAGGAGCAAGTCCCAGCTACTCCAGGAGGCTGAAGCACAAAGATTGCCTGAGGCCAGGAGTTCAGAGGCTGCAGTGAGCTACGACCATGAATGGCCACTGCACTCTAGCCTGGGCAACATAGCGAGACCTCATTTCTACAAATAAATAAAACGAAAAACCAAGTGCTCATAAGGATATGGAGAAACTGGAACCTCTGTGCACTGTTGGTGGGAATGTAAAATGGTGCAGCCACTATGGAAAACAGTATAAGTTCCTCAAAAAATTAAAAATAGAACTATCATATGATCCAGCAATTCCATTTCTGGGTATATACCCAAAAGAATTTAAAGGAGGGACTCAAAGAGATACTTGTACACTCACGTTTATAGCAGCATTATTCACAGTAACCAAAAAGTAGAAGCAAGCCATGGATGGATGAATGGAAAAACAAAACAAAATATGGTATATCCATACAATGGAATATTATTCAGCCTTAAAAAGGAAGAAAATTCTGATGCATGCTACATGGATGAATTTTGAGGACATTATACTAAGTGAAATAAGCCAGTCGCAGAAGGACAAATATTGGATGATTCCACTTACATGAGTAGTCAAACCCACGGAGATAGATGAAGAATGAGGAGTTACTGTTTAATGGGGCCCAGATTTCAGTAGGGGAAGATGAAAAGAGTTCCGGAGATGGATGGTGTATTAGTGAGTTTTCACACTGCTATAAAGAAATACATAAGACTGGGTAATTTATAAAGAAAAGAGGTTTCATCAGGCACAGTGTCTCACACCGGTAATCCCAGCACTCCGGGAGGCCGAGGCAGGTGGATCACTTGAGGTCAGGAGTCTAAGACCAGCCTGGCCAACATGGTGAAACCCTGTCTCTACTAAAAATACAAAAGCCGGGCATGGTGGCGTACACCTGTAGTCCCAGTTTACGCAGGAGCCTGAGGCAGGAGAATCACTTGAACCCAGGAGGTGGAAGTTGCAGTGAGCTGAGATTGTGCCACTGTACTCCAGCCTGGGAGACAGAGACTCCATCTCAAAAAATAAAAATAAGTAAGTAAATAAATAAACAAACAGATAAATAAAAGAAAAGAGGTTTAATTGACTCACAGTTCCACATGGCTGGGGAGGCCTCAGGAAACTTATAATGCTGGCAGAAGGAGAAGGAGACACAAGGCATGTCTTCCATGGCAGCAGGAGAGAGAAAGTGAGCGCACGAAGGGCAAACTGCCACTTTTAAACCATCAGACCTCATGAGAACTCACTATCACAAGAACTGCATGGAGGAAACCACCCCATGCTCCATTCACCTCTCACCAGGTCCCTCCCTTGATATGTGGGGATTATAATTCGAGATGAAATTTGGGTGGGGACACAGAGCCAAACCATATCAGATGGTGATGGTTATTGCACAATGAGAATGTGCTGCTGCTGAACTTAACTCTCAAAAATGCTTCAGATCAGCCGGGCGCAGTGGCTCACACCTGTAATCCCAGCACTTTGGGAGGCTGAAGCAGGTGGATCACCTGAGGTCAGGAATTTAAGAATAGCCTGGCCAACATGATGAAACCCTATCTCTACTAAAAATACAAAAATTAGCCAGGTGTGGTGGTGCGCACCTGTAGTCCCAGTTACTCAGGAGGCTGAAGTGGGAGAATTCCTTGAACCCAGGAGGCAGAGGTTGCAGTGAGCTGAGATCGTGCCACTTCACTCCAGCCTGGGCGACAGAGCAAGACTCTCTCAAACAAACAAAAAAATGCTTAAGATGGTAAATTTTATGTTACATCTATTTTTAAAATAAAAATAAAAATAAAAAAGAAGAAGAAGAAGACGGCAGCCAAACAAGACACATTTGAGGGCAAGAGCTAGTTTTCCAGCCTGTGGCCTCTGAAGACAATTTTTTTTTTTTTTTTTTTTTTGAGATGGAGTCTTGCTCTGTCATGCAGGCTGGAGTACAGTGGCACGATCTTGGCTCACTGCAACTTTCGCCTCCCAGGTTCAAGCAGTTCTCCTGCCTCAGCCTCCCTAGTAGCTGGACTTACAAGTGTGCAACACCACACCCGGCTAATTCTTGTATTTTTAGTAGAAACGGGGTTTCACCATGTTGGCCAGGCTGGTCTCAAACTCCTGACCTCAGATGATCTGCCCACCTCGGCCTCCCAAAGTTCTGGGATTATAGGTGTGAGCCACTGTGCCCGGCCTGAAGACAGTTTTTTAAGGTTCACTCTTGAGGTGCAGGGGACAGGAAGGGAGTGCAGTGAGTGCCAGGCACAGTGGCTCACGCCTGTAATCCCAGCACTTTGGGAGGCTGAGGCAGGCAGATCTCTTGAGTCCAGGAGTTTGAGACCTGCCTAGGCAATATAGCAAGACTCCGTCTGGACAGAAAATACAAAAGTGGGCCAGGTGTGGTGGACACCTGTGGTCCCAGTTATTCAGGAGGCTTAGGTGGGAGAATGGCTTGAGCCCAGTAGGCAGGGGCTACAGTGAGCTGTGATCACGCCCCTGCACTCCAGCCTGGGTGACAGAGTGAGACCGTCTCAAAATAAAAAAGGAGTGTAGTGAGGTCTGGGCAGCATGTCACATTGTTGGGAACTTCAGGAACCTTGAGGCCATGGCTCTAGGGACATCCACAAGAGGACAGGGGAACTCAAGGCCAGCAGGACGTGGCCTGGAACTGTTGTTAACAACACTGGGGAGGGTCATCCCAACAGCCACAGCCTCGGTCACCAGACTGAGATGAGCAGCCTCTGTGGCCTGGGTCAGCTGGGTGCTCAAGGACTATGGACCTTTGGCCCAGTTGCTCTCAGTATACACAAACACCTCCTCCACCTGGCACAGCAGTGGGGAGGCCTGAAGAGACCACTGCAGCCCCCACAAGCCCAGATCCCAACAGTGATAATGGAGCCCCGTTAACTGAATCAGCTTTGCCAGTAGGGCAGGGGGATTTCATAAGATCATTTTTCATCCCCTATTCCCCTGAGGTAGGAACTATTATTATCCCCATTTTACAGGAAGAAAAACTGAGCTCCTAAGAGGTTAAGCCTTGGTTAGGCAACTTACTTGAGGTCACCTGACCAGTAAGTGGTGGACCTAGCACTGGAACTCGCATCTGACTGACCCTTGCAGAACCCTCACCCTTAACCATGGGGCCACACAGCCTTGCAGGAGCAGCAGTGTGAGAAAGCAGCCGATCAGAAGCCAGTGTGCACAAGGCTGGGAACACAGCACCACAGAAAACAAGGCACAGTGTATCCCCTGGCGGGCTTTGCTTAGATAGGCAACGTTCAGAATTCCAGGAAAGTCCAAGTCTGCGTCAAACCACAGTGAGGCTAGCAGGAGACCAGGGCAC